AATATCCAAAACTTGGAAATAAGGCAAAGAAGGTGGCACCTTCTTTCACTGCCATACCAGGGCCTGTTTAAAAAGGGCCACTAAAGGATGATTAATTCTATGGGGAGTATACTTGAGCTTGACTTTCTGTTCTGTATTTGTATGTATCATGTTTTATAACTTATGAAAATGGCAGATTGACATCCCCTTGTCCTAGTGGCACTCATTCACCTGTTGGGATTCCCAGATGTTCTGGCTCCCTCACATCCCATGAGCTCATAAGGGTGTGGCCCATCTTTTGTCAGCATTGTATACTCAGAATTTTGCACAGGGCCAACTTCAGAGTAGAAGCTTGAGAAATAATTACTGGCTGAGTGATCTTAAGCTTCTCTCTTCAACTCTCTGAGCCTCAATTTTCTTATCTGTGAAGTAGACATCACCGCACCCATCTCCAGAGGCAGTGAAGGGTCAGTGAAATAAAGAATTCAAGTGCCCGGGATGCTGTCTGGCACATGGTGGGCTTCTGTCCCCCTCCTCCCAGGGGCTGGATCCCAAAGGTGTGAAATGAAGTTCTGGTGTTGGGGAGCTCATGGTCTGGGTGGGGAGGGGTACGATGTCACTGGGGCAGAGGGTGACTCACTGTGGGGCCAGAGCAGTCAAAGGCGGCCCCACCTGGTATTTGGTGGGACGGGAAGACTAGCCTGGCCAGAGAGTGGAGTCTGGGCTGGGGAGGAGCAGGAAACGTCTTTAAATAGGTTGGGTGGGGTGTAAGGAAGAGGACCCTGGAAACTGGGCTGGGGCGTTGGACTCCCCAAAGTCGGTAAGAGGGAGCCACCCCAGGCTAATGAGGGAGGGAGGGACTTGATAAAGTTATTTCACCCAGGAGAGGAGACCTGTCATAGTTGAGCATCTCTGAGAACCTGGCCTTGGTGTGTGTGTGAATGTGTGTGTGAGTGAGTGTGTGGATGTGAATGCATGAGTGTGATTGTGTACATTTGTGTGGATGCGTGCAAGTGTGGATGCGTATAAGTGTGTAAATGTGTGAGTGTGTGTGACTGCTGTCTGCCCCACACCATGGCAGAGGTTCTCAGATCTATCCTCTATTTAACCCTCGCTAGGCCCCCGTGGTGAAGACTTCTACTATCACATTTCAAGGTGACCAAACCGTGGCTCAGAGGTGAAGCCCTTTGCCCAAGGTCAAGGGCGAGGACTCTGTGTGCAGCTGGCCCCCTTGCCCCCGGGGGAGGGAGGAGGGGTGTGGGTGGAGGGTGAGTGTGGAGGGAGGGGAGAGGAGTTAAGGGACTCTCAGTAGACAACGATGACAGATAAATGGTTCATCTTTGTAGCCGGCCTTGGCGTTCGTGCCCAGTCCGGCACTTTTTCTTTTGCGTTTCGTGTGCTATTTTGGTCCCTGGGATGCTATCTTTCAAAGGAACTCAGCAACGCTCCCTGAGCCCCTCACCTGGGCCAGGCACTGGGCTCCGTGACCAAACACACGGCGTTGACACCGTCTTAAAGAAACTGTCATGTTGGGGCAGGCCTCAAAGCTGGGCTGGGGGTTGAATCCCAGGGCGACAAGGCTGCAGTCTTTTCAAATCTTTGAGGTATGACTTATTCACAGGGGTTGCAGACATGTTAAGTGTGCATTTGATGGACTTTTACGTCTGGAAGACCCCACGTAACCACTGCTGAGATGGAGATACAGAATGTTCCATCACCCCAGAGGGCCCCTTCGGTCTCTTCCCATCACTGCCTCCCTCCAAGGATAGCTCCCTTCTGACTTCTGTCCCCAAGGTGTTGCCTGGTTTTGAACATCTGGGGCACACGTCTTTTTGGAAGCATTTTCAATTTCACAATACTGTACTCAGAAAAAAGTCCCAGACCCTGGTCAAGCACAGTGCCATGGTGAAAGGGGGTGGGGGGACAGTGGGGACCCCAGTGGTGGCAGGCTGAGCCCCAGGGAGGCCCAAGGGTATGTTGGCTGGCTGGTGACCAGGCAGGTGACTGGGACCACCCTGACGCTCTGATGCTTTGGGGGTGAGACCATGTGGCTTTTCCCGGCTGTGCACCCAAACACTGTGGCCCCCACAGTCTCTCTAGCAACCACCCGCCCCCCTCACACCCATCCAGGGCCCCCCACACCCACAGCAGCACCCCTTCTTGGTTGGCAGCCCTTGAACAAGATGTGTAACCTCTCCATGCTTCAATTTCTTTATTAAACGGGAGATAATCATAGTATCTACTTTATAGGTTTGTTAAGAGGATGGAGTGAATTAATATTAGTATTTGTGCAGAGTTCAGGAATTGTCTGATACAGAGTGTTTATGTAAAAATTAAATAAAATAAATAAACCTTGATGAAATCTTGGCTGGTGGGAATATGCTGGAGGACACAGGGGCTTTTACAGTGGGCATTAGAATCTTGAGGAGGGGCAGAGATTTTCCCGATTATCATGTAAAGTGGGCAGGGGGTGCGGACGGCCTCTGGGTCCTCATGGAGCGGGGTGAGTCCTGTGGTTCTCCTTTGCACAACCAGGAACCCAGAGGCGGCGCCCGATAAATGCCAAATGCTTGACTGATTTCCTGGTGGCGGGAAGAGGGTCACTTGGCTCCTGTCAACATCCATTTCGCCTGCCAGCCTGCAGCCCTGGAGATCTGGGCCGTGGAGAAGCGAGGTCCAGGTGCTGCATAAAGTACATCCCCCAAGTCTCCTTGCCTGGACCCGCGGTCCATCATCCCCCACCTTCCTGGAAAACAGAAGGCATCTCCCTGTCCACTTGGCCTGGATTCGTGCCTTGAACACCTCCCTGCAAGCAGCACACATATTTCACAGGTTCGGCCCCCAGGGAGGCCGAGAGCTGAGTTCGCTGTCACAGCCAAGGTCCTGGCCTGTGAGGCAGATGACCTCTGAGCATCAGGAGGCTCCTTGCATCAGGCGGTCCCTAATCACATGGACCAGGCCAAGGGCGCAGTGATGATCCCAGGCCCAGCTCCACTAAAGATTCACTGTGTGAGATTGGCCAGGTCATGTGTGCTTCCTCAGCCTCAACTTTGCTTCTCTGCAAAATGGGCAGAACCGCAGCTAACAGGAGAACAAACAAGGCAGTACAGTGTGGTGGGGAAGACCCAGACTCCTTGGGTTCAAATCCTGTTCTGCCATGGGACACTGGGGAAATGACTTACTGTCTCTGTGCCTCAGTTTACTCATCTGTCAAATAGGGTAATGAGTTCCTACCTCACATAGTGGTTGGGGGGAGCAAATCAGTTAATACCGTAAAGCCCTTGGCATATTACTTACTGTCACAGTCATTAGCTATTATCATTGCTAATCATTTTTCATAGTCAGTGCCAATACATGATGTATTGATTATTAACTCTTGGTTAGCAGTTGGGCCCTGAAGTCAGATAGCTGGAGTTTGGGTCTCAGCAACATCACTCATTCGCTGTGTGACCCTGTATAAGTTACACCACCTTTCTGTGCCTTGTCTATAAACGAGGTCAATAATATTTCCCACCTCAGGTGGTGAGGTTTAAAGGAGTTAATCGATGTAAAGTGCTGACACCGTAAGCACGAAGTATTATTAATACTATATTACATTATTATAGAATTGTCCCTAATATGATTAATATTCAAATGGAGAGGAGGTAAGGAAACTAACATTTATTGAGCACCTACTGTATACTAGCACTGACATGCATCGTCTGGCAAGGACATTCTAGGACAAGCAGTAGGTTTCCGCCTTGGGTAGAGGAGGAAAGTGGGGCTCGGAGAGGGTGGCCTGCTTGTCCAAGATCACATGGGTGGTGAGGGGAGACCAGACCCTGCTGTGCAATGTTTAGGGCGTGAAAGAATGACCCAACGCTTCGGCCTGCCATGTGCCAAGCCTGGGGCTCGGTGCCCCATGACCCCGTTATCCCTACACTAACCCCGGCGGGAGGTATTATTGTCCCCATTGTGCCAATGACAGGCTGCAGTCTCCAAGAGGTGAGTTGTTTGAATTCTCACAGCTACGAAGCGGCAGACCCGGGATTCAAACTCGGTTGTCTGCTGGAATTCTGC